CTGGGGGAACCTCTGAGAGGCTTCCTGTCTATGCATGACAGTGACCACACTGTCTGACTGTTCAAGACAATCTCCAAACATGTGTTTTTTTATGTGATACTTGTTAAATTTGAAAGTTAGTCATTCATAAAATTTTCTTGCAAATACTGAGAGGCCCAAACCTTAACAGCTAGCGGGCCAGGCTGCAGCGTGCCAGACGCGCTGTGGGCACCTTGGGTATATTTCCTTCCCACCCCAGCAGCAGCCCTCCCGAGTCGGGCCTGCTCCCCCTGCTTCTCACTGGGCTGGAACTCGCACCGTGGCCTGCGGGCGGGGCCTCAGCGCTCTCCCGGGGAGGCCCTGCGGGCTCTGTGCCGGCGCCTGTCTGAGCTGCCCCTTCAGCTAAAGCTGGTTTAAGGAAGTCACACAGCACGAGGGCAAGAAGAGCACCAGAGGACATGGTGATGGCGCACGGGGGAAGCGCTGGCGGGCACTGGGGCCGCGCCTGAGAAAAGAAAGCAAACATTGCACGAAAGTCAACAAAGATGTAAGGTATATATAAATAAGTATTTTTTAAAAAAAGAAAGTCACAAAGAAACATCTGCAGCTCCGTAACACAGCAAATCCGTGCCTCCTCTGCTAGGCCACGGCAGCCGCAGTCACCTGTGGGCAAATCCCCTCACCAAATGACTCTTTCCTTCTACTCTAGAGACTCAGAGGGCCTAAGACAGTCCATTTGTGTATTTGACAGATGTCTCTCTCTCCCACTGGACAAGCTCCAGTGAGACACACACTGTTTAGGGTTCTGCACATCTTCAGAACTAGCACAATGCCTGACTTAAAGAAAGGACTTAAGAAATACTGCATGAATCTAAAAAGAAAGGCTGGTGGTGCAGGGGTCTAAGTCTCCCTGGTGGTGCAGGGGTCAAAGTCCCAGCACTACCAAGCTATCACCAGCCACTGCAGCAAGAGTTCGATCCCCAGCCAGGGTGCAGCAGACCTCTCCTGTCCTGCCCGCTGCTCCCCTCAGCAGTGTTTCAGTAGATCTGCCTGTTCTGATTCCTACTCTGTCTCTGGTGAATCGTCTGAGCCTCCATACCTTGGGCCTGCACCCAGTTCTTATAACTATAAATAAATAAAACTAAATCTTAAAAAAAAATAGGCTGGGCCAGCAGGGGAAGTGAAAAGGTTCCACTCAATTCAGGTGAACTAAGGCCACCCCAAAAGGTCAGAGGCTTCCGGGAACCTTCTCAGGAGCCCCACTACGCTCCCTTAACTAGCGGACGGCTGGCCAGGCCCTGGACCCAGACAACCAGCAGGCCGGGACTCTCGTCACTGGGCCCTGTGCTCTCTGGCTTGTCCTGCCAGGGTCACATGTCGCCCGCGATGACCCTAGCCAATGGCCCAAGGGCGAGCCCAGCCCCTTCCCTGTGTGGCTACTGCTCGAGAACCTGGCTGCCAAGACAGCGCCCGCGTGAGCCGCCCTGATGTTAACACTGTGCTCATCGCAGACACGAGTGCTGCAGGCGACACACAGGTCACCTCCGACAGGCGGGAGCCAGCAGCACAGCGTGTGCAGAGGGAGGGGCGAGCAGGACCAGAACTCAGGTGGCCTGGGGCGCAGCGCCTCTGAGCGGGCCAAGGAGGAGGACAGGCCAGATGCAGAGGCCACACTGGAACAGCCTCAGGAGACGTGTTCTCCTCAGCACCGCACACGTGAACAATCGCAGACACACACAAACATGTTCCACTGGGCCACGATCTGTGAGAACTCGGTAGGCTTCGCACCGGAATGCAGGTTCCCGGCTTCTAGGGAGACCTGGCCTAGCCTGCAGAACAGCAGCAGGCCGGGGCGCAGCAGCTGCACAGAGGACAGTGCACGTCCTAGTTTGCCACAGTCACCGTCGCTCCCTACCGCTCTCCCATGGGACCTACATCACTTAAACACCGTTTTGTCTTTGTGGTCCATGCACCTTGGGGAAGCTGTTATTTTGTTCTTTCCCAGTAACAGCACCTCATGGGTGAAACATGCACAGGAGTGCTGTCTACTCCGTGTTCAGTAACCTACAATGGATCGTTCAAATCCACGCTTAGCCCAAGCCCAGATTTTCCTGGAATTCTTTTCAAGATTCTGATGAGGTTCCCTGAATCCCAGACCACCGTATACACCACCACCGCTGTACAAGTAGGATGCTGGCTTCTGCTTTTAGAGAAACAGACACAACAAAATAAGCGATGGTTGCTGGTCAGGAGCAGAAACAGGCCCAGCGCTGGCGACTTACACAACTTCTCTGAACATCCTGCTCTGTCTTAGCGAACATCTCAGACAGATCTCCATTCAGAATGACTTCAGCTAGCGAGTTCACCAGGGGCGCGTGATGTATAATTAGGAAGACCTGGTGAGAAAGAACAAATGGGATTTGCATTGAAGGTGAGTTGCCATCTGCTGCCGCAGGCAGGCTACAAACATCCTGTGCACGGCCGTGATCTCTTCTATGCAAAATCCCCAGAATGGGTCACATTTAGGCGAAATCAGCTACACTATCTCCTTCAAGTCTTTGCCCCGCCTTCATCCAGACTTGCCCACTTGGCCAGCTGCTCCTGGCGGAAGGAAGCGCATTAACGAGACTGTCCCTCACGGCTGAGTGAAGCCAAACCCGGCTGAAGTGGAGCAGCATGGGAAGGGAGCCGCCGAAGCAGCACACTCCTCCCCTCCACAGGCATTTCAGTGTCAAATTCGATTAAGATAAGGCTAGAAGGCACTGGCCCAAAGCTTCGGTTAGGCGGGGAGAGGGGCCAGCGCGTCTTGTTCCAATCAAAGACTTGGCCACAGGGCAGCGACACAGAGATTCCATTACTGGCAGGCGCTCCGACCCCCACAGTGGGTTTCGGGATTCCATGGCACTGGGGGGAGGTGTGGAAACTGTGGAGAAGAAAAACCGCACCAGTCCCAGACAGACCGAGGAGTGCCAACATGCAAACCCAGAAGGCGCTGGCCTGCCTAAGACGGCCCTGCCACGCCTCCCTGATGCCCAGCTTTGGTGGCAGGGCTTCCGGAATCAGCACGACAGCTGCCTGCGACCCGGCTCAGACGTGCCTGCTCACTGCTTTTAAAACGGGAAGGCAGCACGGAGCTGCGGGGTGGAGACGCACAGGCCCGGGAAGGGCGCGTGCGCATCGCGAGCTGTGCAGGGTGGGTCTCTCGACCCCAGCGCAGCTGTGGGCATGGTGGAGGGACGCGTGGCACCATGCAGGAATGTGACTGCTGTGAGGGGCTGTTCTGTCCACTGTAGGATTTTTAAGCAGTGTCTCTGGTTTCTACCCACTAGATGCCAACAGCATCCCCTTCCTCAGTCATGGCCACCAAAAATGTCTTGAGATGTGGCTGAAGGTCCCCTGGGGCGACAAACCCCACCCTGGGGTTTCTTGTAGCCAAGAACCCTGGTGGAGAACATCTCTAGAAGGAAACAGGAAAGCCCTGTAGCCAAAGCTGTGTCTGGGGAAAAAATCAGGGGACTGACGGAGAGCAACAAGGAATGTTAGTTTGTCCTTCTTCGAACTCTTTAACTTTAAAAAAGGAAATGTTAAGGGAAACAAGGAACGGCAGAAATGAGTGAGTACTGGCGGCCACCGGGAGTGAGGCTGCTGCCTGGGGGTGAAGAGTTCCCCAGCGTGTCTCTGTGTACTGGCAGAAGAGTGCGAATATACTGCCCGAATAATCACAGTACAAATTAAGGGTACAGATGTGTTATCTGCTTTACAAAAAGCACTTTTGTTTTTAAAACATGGAGATAGTGACTATTAAGGATACTACATAGTCTGATCAGGAGAGTTAAGTCCTGTCCAGGGTTATGGTAGGCAGCTAGATGCTATCAATGTTGGTGGTGATGATGGTGGTGGCAAAGTTGGTGATGGTGGGGGTGATGCAGTGACGATAAGGATGGTGCTGATGATGGCAGTGACAGTGGTGATGATGATGATGGGGATGGTGGTGGTGATGGTGGGGGTGACGATGGTGGTGATAGCGGTGATGATGGTGGTGGTGATGGCGGGGGTGACGGTGGTGATGATAGGGATGGTGGCGATGGTGGTGCTGACAGTGGTAAGGATGACGATGGGGATGGTGGTGATGGTGATGATGGTGGGGTGGTGATGGTGACGATCGTGATGATAGGGATGGTGGTGGTGATGACGGTGATAGTGGTGGTTTCTTACCTTCCTCATGGTCAAATTTCTGACTCACTTCCATCTAATCATAAAGCCAAACCCAACTGCCAAGTCCACTCATTCCAAATCTCCACTGTGCCCCATGTATGCGTGTGGCCTCATCTGATCATTTCGTCATTCTTCCCTTCCTGTAGTGGGCATCTACTAAGGCCTTCAGGCAAGGTCAACTGAGGCCCACCGTGCAGGCCCATGGTGTCCAGGGCATGCCTGCCCCTGACGCTCAGTAGTGTGAGCAGACTAGCCCCAAAGAGTTGGGTGGGCGTGTCCACACCACGCATTCACTTCTGCAAGGCAGCACCCCCAGCATGTAAATGAACGCTGGGAATGTGCATATTCCTGGTCTTGTAGCTGTGCATGTAGAATCATCTGGAAGGACACTTTGATTCTTCTTAAGAATGCAGAATCACACCTGGCCGGAGGTTTTCACACATCCCGGCAGCACTATAGTTAACAGTGAGTGAGGGGAGGGACCTTACTACTCAGGCTGAGGAACAGATGACAAGCCGCGCGTTCTGTGAGAGGCTGAGAAAAATGATGAGGTTATTAGTCCTTCACTAAGAAAACAAGACCGTGGGGTTCTCAGACAAAGGTGCGCCTGTCCCCTGGCTCCTGGAGACCCTGCCCGTGGCGTTGACAACTGAGAGATCCTGAGGGTGCTTTCCATGGGATTCCTGTGGCTGAGCATCTGGCCGGCTCAGGTCCTCCCGGACTCCCAGAGCCCCAGCAGGAGATGCTGGTGGACTTATAACGAGGTGGCAGAGAAAGCTGCCAGGAGTGGTGGGGGCTTACACAGGGCTCTGGTGTACAGAAGGGGCATTCAGAAGCCCCAACACCAGGGGATTATGCTGGGGTGACAGGGGACCCCAGGTCAAGATTCCACGAATGGACAGTGAGCAGGCCCCGGGCTGACCCCCCTGAGCTCTGCATCTATTTTTCTCAGGTCAAGGGCAGACAGCCACCTCAAACTCCAGAAGGACCAGGGACCAAGTGAGAAGGACATTCTCTGAGCACAGCAAATAAATAACCCGTGGCCCCGCAGAAGTGGGAACAGGGCTCTGGGCAAACGTTTGACTACTTGACAGTCTAATGAGATGGCCTGAGAGTCTGGACTGCCTGTAATAAAAATATTTTCAAAGTTATGTAACTGGGTCGCCATGGAGTTTTTCCCTTCTTGTAAATATTACATAATTATGAGACGGAAACACACTCGTTGAAGAGGGCAGGCGGACAAATTAGCTCAAGACACAAATCTGGGAATTGAGGCTGCTACAAGATACCTTCCAGAAGGTAATCTGAAACCAGAATCAGGACAGAAGCCTTCCCAAGCAGCCTCGTAGCAGAAAATTGTTAAGCCAAGGTTGTATGCCCAAACCTTCAGTTTGGGGGCGTCTTTCAAATGCCATGAGCAAGCTTCATGCAAGCCACGTTTCCAGGGTACTTAGAACATTCTTGGCTGTTTTGGAAACCTCAGTCCCCATGGTAAAAAAGCAACTCTATTTGCTCTTTACCATGCCAGGCTTGATTTATTTTCCATTTGTCTTTGAATTTCCATCCACTACCATGAAGAGGGTGCCCAGCGTCTTGACTCAGCGTCTGGAAACTAGAACCCCCATTTCCTCTTATTTATTGAAAGTTGGGGAACACTGAAAGAGAATATGAAGCGATATGGTCTGGGAAATTCCTGGAAGGCAATCGCATTCCAAGGACCCCCTAAATGTGCTGGGGACCCAGACAAACAGTCAGACATACCTGCGACAGGAGATAGAGAGAAACAGGCAGGCTGATTTTCGGTCGTTCTCCTCCCTGGTGAAGGGGAAGGGAGAGAGAAAGGGGTCAGATCACCCAAAACTCTCATATGAAGCCAAAGCCACCTGTTGCAGTGCCTGTCCCCAGGCTCCTCCCACCCCAGGAGCGCTCCCCTGGGGCTCGCCCTCAGTGGGCCCACAGGATAAACTCCCAGCCCCGCCCACCCAGTGGCGCCTGAGAAATCTTCCTCTGTCCGCCAGATCAGAGGCTGGACTGAGAGAACTGGGTCTTTCAAACACCAGGAACATCCACGCCACCCTCGGGGACACTGAGAGCTGGGGGCGGAGGCCGGGTCTAAGGGAGGAACTTCCAAAATTGGAGGCAAAAGCAGTTTGGGGCACCCTGGCCTTAGGAAGCCCCATTCACATGGCGCTTCAGTGGGCTTTAGCTCCCTCCAACCGGGGGTGATCTGCGGGGCCTCCTTTTGCTCAGGGAGGAACCGCCCTGCCCAAGGTCAAGAGCACGCTCAGGAAGGGGCAGCATTTGAACTCAGGTCTAAAGCTCTATTTCCCGTGCTCGCTCTCTGCTCCCAGGGCTACCTCGGGTAGATTTAGCTATTTACTTATGTTTTGAAAGAACCTTCACAGCCTATCCCAAAGCAAGTTGCAATCCTTTGGGACCTGGCCACAGAGGCTAAACCCCTGCAAGAGGCCATCTGGCTGACCCCCCTCCAAGGACATCTGTCCATGAAGCCCAGGAGGCCCTGAGCAAAGGCTTCTCCTCCCTGAAGCAGCAGCTCTCACAGGGGACCCGAGAACCGGTGGCTCAGACTCACTGAACCCACCGGATCCACCAGAACCCCTGTGCATTCTAACGGGCACTAGCCCCACGGCGGGTGCCCCAGGCCTGCCAGCTGTGCCCGTCCCTGCCGTCCATGCTGTTGCCCAGATGGCCCCACGCCGATCAGCCTGGCGGAGCAGAAAGCCAGTGGGGCTGAGGACACAGAACAGGAGGGTGTGGAGACAAACCCCTAAACGCGCGGCTTCCGGCTTCTTCCTGACGCCAGTGCTTGCCCCTCACTCACTGTCACGGCTTGTCCCACCCTCAGGAACCCCGAGGGCGCGTGTGCACCAGAAGGAGCATCTCTCGGGCTCCAAGTCCCTCTACTCTGGCGGAGAGTGAGGAGAGGAGATGCACACGCTGAGGGGGTGGCGCCATGCTCCCCACGTTATGTATTTATGGAAATGAACGGCAAATCGATGCCACTGGATTAAAGACAAGTAAAAAAAAAAGCCTGAACGGCTCGCACAGCGTGGCCCCCTTCAAGGCGACCTCCCCGCCCCCCGAGGAGGCCGGCGGCCCCGCGCACCTTGTCCTGGTTCTCCAGCGAGTACACATAGAGCGGCAGGAAGAGCCTGTTGAGCAGGTGGTCGGTGAGCACGTCGTTGAGGAACTCGCAGTTGATGATCAGGATGTCGTTGAGATAGTGCAGGTGGTCCAGGTGCTCAGCCACCAGGTCGCTCAGCTTGCCCCGGTTGCGGTGCCTGCCAGGAGAAGGCCCACCTCAGCCCGGAAGCCGGAGCGCGGCGCCAGGCCTGGAGTGGCCGGCCTGAGACTCAGCCTCTGGCGTGCTCTCGCTCACACAGCAGATACCGAGGCGGTCTCGGGGAGACCGATCCTGACCCACTGGTGGGATCTGGTCCACTGCGACTGATTTCAGGGGGCTCCTGGGGGTTCCCCCTACCCTCTGGGGGACTGCGTCCTACGCACACCCCCCACCAGCCAGTGGGGTAAACAGAGTCAAAGCTAGCTAAGCTCACAGCTGGCCCTTTCACAAGCACGGCCACCAGCCAACGTGGCGGGATGCCTGGCTCCCGAGATAAGCGCTATTAATGGAGCAATAAATCTGGCTAATTAATTATTCCAGAGGCGCACCGAGACAAAAGCAGGCCTCGGAGGCTACGTCTGCCCCAGGGGCCCAGGCCATGAGGGGACGGAGCTCGAGGATGGTACCCACCCCTCCCGCCAGCCCACAGGGGACTTGTTTCCTCTCTGTGGGGAAGGGGGTATCAGTCTCACACTCCCAAGGATGGAGCCCCAAACCAGCCAGTGGGCACCCTTGCCCCACACCCAAGGAGCAATCTAGCTGGGTGGAACATTCATTAGTGATCACCCAAGTAATAGATGGCTATTTTAGAAGACAAAAAAAAAAAAAAAAAATGAAAGCAAAAAGAAGTCAAAATCTCTGAAAGCCCTACCATGACCCAACATTCTGGGCCTCCATATTTCTGGGTCTCCCTGGACTGATGTCAAAGCACAGGGATTTATCTACCTATGCATCTGACTGTCAGGCTTTTGAAAAATGAAAACAGGCCCATTTCTGCTCTTCTTACTCGGTTCTGGATAATTTCTCCTTGTCACACTTCAGTAGATGGATTCTAGCAAGGACGTGCTGACGCCTGAGGTGATGCACACCTATGGGCCCACTGCCCACCTGGGGCAGGAACACTTTATACACGTTTTGCAAATGTTCCCCCCATTTAGCGAATTAACTATGGAAATTTTTCTGCAGTAGCATATTTAATACACTTTACCCTTAAAGCCTTCAGCTGAAAGAAGTCTTAGCAAAGTAGCAAGTGCAGAGGGTTTTAAAATCAAGCTGGTAACCAAATCTAGCAGGTTCCAGCTCTTCAGCTACTTCTGTGGGGAGCCCCGCCCCAACAGCCATAAATCTGCAGGACCGCTACTTGGCATCGAGTCCTCTCGGCAATGAGCTGTTGACAGAGCTTCCGTGTCCACTCCGTCTTCCCCCAGTGGCCACCAGTGACTGGTGTCCACTTATGGAAACTGCTCGCCACGCCGAGGACTGGGTGGTCACCTCCCAGATACGAAGTAACTGTGTGGACTTTCCTCACAGTGTCCCACGACCGGCCTGCCCATCCCACCTGCCAGTCACCTGTCCTCACTCCCTTCCCAGAGTGGGAGCAACTATCCCACCGCTCCAGGAAGACTCGGGACTCCCAGCCCCTCGGGTGTCCAGAGCTGCTGGCCTGGGCTATGACCCTCACTGGTGGTGACCTGGCCGGCAGGGAGACCTCTGGCCCAGTGTGGACACACTTCCAGGTGCCCCACCCGGGAGGCGCTCCTGGCTCGGAATGGGTAAGGCCGGAGACCTGCCCACGGCCCTCTGTGCACATCATGCCCGTGACGCAGGGCGGAGGCTAGGAAACCCCACTTGGGGAAAGGGATCAAACACGCGGGGGGGGGAGTGCACGGGACTATGGTGATGGCACACGGGTGACTTGGTGATGGGAAACCCGCGGGGATTACAATTGAGATGAAAAAAAAAATGTACAAATGATGTAAAAATAAACTGTTATAAAATAAAAAGAAAGAAACCCCACTTGGGAACTTCTACTCATCATCCCAAATCAGCATGCTAGTCACTAAAGAGAAAATGACTGAGCTATAGCTCACACGCCATAAAATGCACCCATTTAATGGTGACCGCGCGGTTCTGGTGTAGGCCCAGCACCTCAGCCACCAGCACCACCAGCAACGCTTCACCCCCGCCCCACCCAAGCAAGCCCCCCCACACACGCTAGTCACTCCGGTCCCCGGCGACGCCACCCCCAGCGGCAGGGCGGCACTCACCCTCTGTCGGATGGGCCTATTCTGGGCATGTCCTAGAAACAGAACCACATGCGCCCTGGGCCATGGCATCTGGCTCCTTTCGCTTACTCAAGCGCTTCCAGAGTCCTGGTTTGCAGGGGGAGCCTCGCTCCTCTGTGCTGCCAGACACGGCTCCACGCCGTGTGGTCTACTGTGCCCTGACAGTTGCTGGTGACGGGCATGTTTCCATGCCTGCCACGTGCCAGCTGCCCGGCAGCCCATCGAAGGGTGTGCTGCGTTCCCTGACTCCACTGCCCGCTGGGAGATACTTGGGCTGTTCCAACTCCCCACCGCTCCTAACAGGCGGGCAGCCCCTGTCAGAGCTCAGCACCCACAGCCCGCACGCAGGTGAGGACGCGTTTGTGGTTCCCCGACAGAATCGCTCCCCTCCCTGTCACTGTCCACCTAACGTGCGCGGGGGTCACTTACTCCTCGTCAGTCTGCACACAGTTATCCAGTTCGATCACGTGGCTCCCGATGAACCAGACCAAGTTGGAGAAGTAAGGGACAGCCGTTTTATCTCTGATATAGTGCAGCATGGCCTGGTTATCCACTGAGAAAATCCACAAAAGAAGAGAAAATAAGTCACGCTACCAAAAATAACTGGGGAGAGATTCAACAATAACAGCACCACCACCACGATGAAAAGCTTTCTCCTATCATCTCAGTCTTTTCTGTCTTTCCTGGAAATAACCTGAACATGGTTGTCTTAAGCCCAAAACTAATCTCATCCAGGCAGTGCTTATGCTATTGTTACCGTTAGTAAAGTCAGTGAACTGGGCGGTAGAGCCTCACGGCGTGCTGAAGGCACCCACCCCGGCCGCGTGGCCAGCTAGAGGCCAGGAGGCGACCCCACGCTCAAGCAATTTACATGTGAGGATACGTCAAGAAAGTGGAAAAGCAGAGGTTAATAACTTACATGACACTGGAATAAGGAACACAGGAATCGTCATGGAAGGAAAGGCAAAAACACGACAGTTAACAGGGTTAGGAGCTGGGACGGGAGACAGCTGCTCACAGGGAGAGAGCAGGAGGCTTCATCTAAACTGAAAGGCACAGGTTAGAAGAGAGCGAGCGAGAACAGCGCAGGGCAGCAGCACACGGGCTGGGGCTTGGCCGGGTCGCAAGCCTGGAAGCCGGAGTGTGGCCAGCGACTGGGCGAGCGAAGCCACCAGACCCAGGGCGCCGTGTGAGGGGCTGACCGGGGGCCCACAGCGGCGGCCGCTTCCCAACACCAGCTCACTGCTGGCCTGCAGGGCAGCTAAATCTGCACTTTCAAGTCTGATCACACGTATGCACAGACGCAAGAAGACTGTTACCCCAAACGACCCAATCAGTAAATACACATATATATATATACTTGTAAGCAACCCTAACCAGCTGCTTAAAAACACGTCAGAGGGCTGGATTCGACTCTCAGGCCTTCAGTTTGTGACCTCCGGATGGACCTCGTTGGCCTCTTAGAAAGCTCTTCAGTTTAAGGCAGTCCCAGAACTAGATGGAATGAGCCCTGGGGAACCCCTGCGCCCCACCCCCCAATCCCCCAGTGGGGTCATCACGAGCAGTAACATCACAACTCAGCAAAGGTTAAAGTCCTTTGACCTCTGAGAAAATGGAGTCCCAGCTCCAGCTTGGTGACTGCAGGAGGAAAAAATAACTAACTAGGCAGAGAACTCCCAAGGCGTTGCTTTGAGGGCACTTTCAGTTCAGGAACCGTGTGGGCCAGGCCCTGCTAGCGCCGGCTTCTCCAGGAGGCAGTGCTTGGGCCTTAAGTACAGGTTGAGAAGAGGGATGGCTGGCTGGGCCTGGCTGCATTGAGGAGCCGGTACTGCCCCCTGCTGCTTGTGGCGTGAAATGCTTTTATACATTTTTTAAGAGCAAGCCCGCCTTCTGGCTGTGCTGACGCCCCAGGCCAACACACCAAAACTTAAAAGTGTCACTCAAAAGACGCCGTTCCTGTAGGTGATATGCCATGGCGGCTGCAAGCTGCAGTGCGCCTCCTGGGGGGCGTTCCTACCTCTGCTGTTGGCCCCCAGACTTGAACATACAGAGCTGAGCCGCTGAAAGGCCGTGGTACAAAAGGTAATGCAAGGGGCGAGCGCAGTGTTCAGTGAGCACAAGCACCATTCGCGGGCCCCTCTCACCCCTGAGAATCGCCAGGGCAGACTCATGCACAAGAGCTAGCTGCCAAGTTAGCACCCACCACGGCAGAGCGGCCAGGAGACCTACCTTTGTAGACGTTCAAGGTGATGGTTCTGACAGCAATTCTAACCATGCTTTCAGGGTGGTTGAAAAACTTGATGGCTTCTGTGTACAGGGCAAAATCATTCGTGTGCTAAAAGCAAAGAACCGAGAATGAGTTGCAGGCCGCCTTTGCCAGGCCTGCCCCCACCCCCGCTTTCTGAACCTTGCAGAGATGCCAACAAAAGACACAAAAAGCTACCAAGTGAACCTGAAGTCGGGGTTCCTTCCCAATGGGGAACGTGGGAAGGGATGGGGCGGCAAGACCATGGAAGAAACAGAAAAGGGTCAGACAGCGCCGGGCTGGCTTGGTGATGTGTGAGACCGCTCCTTAGCGGCGTGATGGTCTGTAACGAAGTATCTGCCTACAGAATGGGGATAAACGGCTTGCACTGCGTGATCACGGGTATGAATTGAGACCATTCCCCGCGCAGTGCTCAGCCCGGGCCCAATTCCTAATAGACGCAGCAACTGGGAGGGCAGAACGTTGGGATTTTGAAGCCAGAGCGATGCTTCTGGAAGAACCCACTGTGGCCTTTAAGGCAGCGGGGAGCTTTCGAGCAAGCTCACCCCACAGTGGGCTTGGAGAGCCAGTCTGTACCAAGTGACGAGGCATCAACTGTCCAGGCGAGCGTGATGTATGACTGCGAATGGAAGCTCTGGCTACTATAAACTCCTTTATTTGGAAATATGAGTCTGTAAACGTTATCATGGTGAAAGAGGTGCTCAGGAATCTTCTGACATTAAAAGGGGATCATCAAAATGGACAAGTGGTTCAGAACCACAGAACTCTACCACGGGGCCTAAGATGGGCCTCGGAGCGGCGCCTAGATCCACACGGCGCTGCTCTGCTGCCCTCTGCTGGCCAGTCTTCACATGACTCTGAGCCCCTGGAGGGCGACCGCAGGAGTGTGGGGAAGTGGAGACTGGCAAGCTCCAGGAAGGTGACAACTGTCTACTGAGGACAGGCCCTCAGAGCGTGAGAAGACAAGTGTCCCCTTAACAAGTGCGAGCTGGCAGTGGCCACCTAGGAGGAAACCAAGCCCACCATGGAGTGAGCTTGCTCGAAAGCTTCCGGCTGCTTCAAAGACCACAGGGGGTTCTTCCAGAAGCTTAGCTCTGGCTTCAAAATCCCCGCATTCTGCCCCCCCAGCTGGCGCACAGGAGTGCAGCTCTCCCAGGTGGGGGAAAACCTGGTCCCCTCTAGCTGGACTTGGGCGTCTTCTGCCCGGGAGGCCTCTGGGGAGTGCTGTCAGCCATCTGTCCTGGGGCATGTCCCTGAGTCCCTACTATGTGTGGCTGGGGCCACACAATGTTAATTTTTCAAGCTGTCACACACTGATGGCTGGCAGTTGGCATTCCTTCCACCTAAGGCCGGCCCTTCCCATATTCACATCAGTAAACTGGACAAAGAAAGTCAGGTGCAGGGGACTTCCGCCACATCATCTGACAGCGGCTGGATGCATTTGGCCCTAATTCAGAGCTGTGTGGGACTAGGGGCCGGCTCCCAGTACACACCCACCCAGGGCCGCGGTCACCACTGCAGACACCCACACACGCAAACACCAGGTGGCTGGCGGAATCTGGCCTCCAGGTGGGTCCTCAGGGATCCTCACCTCTTGTCTCCAAGAGGACCCCTCTGACATCTTGAGTCAGGGCGGGCCTGTGCGACCTAAAGAATATGGCAGAGGTGATGTGTCCTCTGGGGCTGCCATAAAGGCATCACGCCTTGCCTCAGTCTCCTGGGTCACTTGTTCTGGGGAAAACCAGCCACCGTACCATGACGCCAGGCAGGTTGTATCACCAAGGCCTCTGGCCAACAGCCAGCACCAACTAGCTAGTGAATGCATAAGTCATGTGAGAAGCAGATCCTCAACCCCAGTCCAGCCTCCAGATAACACAGCTGCACGACTGAGTCAGGACTTCCAATTCCCAGCAGGGAAATGTGGCACAGTTTTGACCAGTGTGGCATAAGAGGAAGTCCACTGGGAGACTTCTGGGAGCAGTTACTTTGGGAGTTAAAAAGGGACACGGGGAGGAACATGATCTCATGAGGTTTTTCGGCAGTTGTGTGTGAGTGTGTGAGGTTTGGAACTGCTGCAGCCATCCTGAGACCATGAGGCATCGACCTGAGGTCAGATCCAGCTGTATGGTCTGCACAACAGGAAGTTGGAAACGCCTGGGCCTGAGATGGGCTTGAGCCAAAAATGAGCCAGCCCCAAAGAGCAGCATCCGCACCTTTGGGGACCTTCCTGGCCCAGGTCCTTTTCATTGTGAGAGCAGCAGCAATTTATATATTTAAGTTGCTCGTGTTTCTCCCAGTAATGCCAGGGATGTTAGCTTGTAAAGGGCAGCAGTGGTTTTGCCTTTAGGGAGCCAGGTTTATGCTTGAAGATTTGATGACTTCTGTTCATTTAATTCGACTCTCAGAAAACCTACAACAGCTTGCTTTCATGCCTGTTCCTCAGGCAAGGAAACTGAGGCTCAGAGGACGGGGACTTGTCTAAAGCCACAAAGGAGGGAAGTGGCCAGTCAGTTTGGACTTCTGTTCCTCCCAGGGGAACATGGCCCCAAGCCAACTTCTGGGAACTTCTCCCCGCTAGGTAACAGAAATGGAACGGTGTGTTAAAAATAGAAGTTAAATTTTAAAGTGAAACTTTTCGATGCATGCCCAGGCGAGAGAACTGCGCTGAGGCTCTGGAAACAGGCCCACGGCTGCCCATTGGAAGGCGGCTCAGACTGGCCACCAGCTTTCATCCCACTGTGCACCCCGGCAGTTACTCACCTCATTGTAAAAGAAGTGGACGGTGTGGTTGTTGAGTTTTAATGAGAGGGTTTTCAGGAATGATATATAATATGCCATAATCTCCTCATCGGAAAAGTCAAACTTATGGACAATGATAGAATTGACATAGTTATTAGAGAGCAAATAATCTAGAGGGAGAAAAACAAACAAACAGGCCACGAGTTAGTGGTGCCGGAGGGAGCGTGGCAGAGCCAGCCAGAGAGAAGCCAGGGCGCGGGAGCCTTCTGCTGGGTGGCCAGGCTCTGCAAGCGAACAGGGAGAAGCTTAAGCTGTAAACAGCAAAGCAAGCGGCCCGTGCATGGCCCCTGGATTTCAGAGCAATGTCTTAGAAAGGCCGGCCCCCTCCCACAGCAAATACAAGAAAACACTCCAACATTTTCTTTCTTTGCTGGCAAAGTTCAACCTGAGAGCTGGGGGCAGGGAGATGAGCTGGGGCGTGGGCGTTTTCACAAACCACCCACTCATGAGGGTAAAGAACACTTTGGGTTATAAAAAGCTGCCCCACTTTGCCATCAAAAGTCACACCGTCATTGCTGAGTGCCGCAGAGGGCTGAGTGTGGTTTCCTTCTCCTACAGAGCCGCGTGCTGAAACACGAGGGTGCTCCCGACCCAACTGCCTCTGAGGTCTCAGGCTCCCAGAAGGCGCTCAGACAGGCTGATGGACTTGCCTGAGGACACGGCGACGGGAAGTCGCAGCGATGGGCCCTGGGCTGAGGTCCGATGCCCAAGCCTGCCACCACAGGCTCTCACGGGCCCAACCAGTAAAACCGGGTGACAAGGGCTGTGGGCCCCAGGGACCACTTAGGGCATGGCTACCCCGCCGGGCACTCCGACCCTGCAGAATCGCAGGCCTGAAGGGGGCAGCGTCTGACTGTGTGAGGGAGGCGGAAAACCAAAGGAACGTGCACCTCCTGGTTTGGAATGCTGCCCCAGATCCACTCGCTTAAATATCTGATTTTACTGATTCACCGTTCGTGCGCCTCGCTGTAATCTCGGAGGACAGCTTCACACCCCAACGGGGTGGCTAACCCTGCTCCCACAATGCTGCAAGGCCCTTCCCACCACAGCCCGCCTCTGCCCCTGCTGGCACCCGTACTGTGCTGGGCCACTTGTCCGTATGTCCTGCCACAGGTGCGCGGGCTGCCACAGCGGCGCCGACCCACCGAAACAGGTCTAGAGACCAGCTGCGCCGGGGAGCGCGGCTCGTGCCGGCCTCACTGCCATCTGGGCCCTCTGCATCTGCCCACCAGCCCCCCCACCCCCCGACAGGTAAAAGATGAAGGGGAAACACCTGCCCTTGGTGGACGACACAGTGAGGGGAGGGGGCTCCGAGCCCCCCGGTCTGGCCTGCAGCCCAAGGCCTGGAGCTCATCAGCCCCGTGTGCTCCGGAACCGAGCACGGGCTCTCGTGGGCAGGCCTGTAGGAGCTGGTGCGCGCGCCCGCGTTTGAGAGGCCACAGGCCACCCAGCCTCCCAGCTGGGCTACCAGGGAAGCTGCTGGGTTCAACCGGTGAACAGGAGCAGCTGAGCTTTAAAAGCAAAGCAAGCGGCCCTGTGCACGGCCCTGGATCGCAGTGCCGGGCCCGGCTCCTGGGCTGAGCTGCACTGCCGGTACCTTTCTCCCAGGGCTTCGCGCAGATGAAGGCAGTGAGACAGTGGGGGCACAGAGCGAGCGCCCGTCCTGCAGCAGCTGCTGCTGTCCCCCATGTTGCTGTCGCCTGGAGAGCCCTGCCCATGTCATCACGTTCAAGACCAAAGACGGTGCTCGTGGGTGAATCACAGTGCTCATGGGTGAAATAACCCCTGGAGTCACTTGGTACCAAAGCAGTCCCCTACCGCGGCCAATCGAGTGTACCCGAAGGCTGTCTGGAGCCACCAAAACCGGCATGTGCACCCAGGAGCAGGGGCACGAGAGCCCAGCGCAAGGGGGCTCGCGGGAGGCGTGCAGACAGGCCTGGAAGTCCGTAGGGAGGCCGCTCCCCATTCTAACCCTCCCTGAGGAGGTCTCAGGCCCCTGCGCAGAGGCCGTGGGCCCGAGGTGAGGGCGCTCCCTCCCTGTGTTAAATGTGAGGTTCCCCGCACATACCACCAATCCTCAGCTTGACCGCGTGCAGTGGGACACAGATGGGATCTTAAGTATTGTGACTTTGTGCTTTAAAGACCCCCCCAAATCTTAGGGGCCCAGCTGGATGACCTTGTGCAGTATAGACCCCTCCAAGCACTGGCCCATGGGCCGCTTCCTAGAAGCTCCCTCTCCAAAGACGACCCCGGATCTGACCCGTTTCCACACATCCTGCTTCCCACACACGTCTGGCATGCCTGCTTCTGCGCGCCACGAGGGAGGCCGTCCTCTGCTATGTGCCACCTGGCAGTCACTCTGGAGAAGCCACAACCTGCCTGCCTAGCACTGTGCCCTGGACAGCAGCCCGGGGACGCCGGGGGCCTGGGGGACACGACCATGAGCCCCACAGTGACTGGGGGCGGCTCCGCACCCCAGCGGCACAGACGCCTGCACGGCCGCCTTGACCAGCCCTCAGCCACGTCGAGCCGGGACAGCCACACGCTCCAAGCTTCCCCAGCGGGGACTTTTCCAGGGCCTCCAGGAGAGGACAGCGTGGGTGATGGGGCCACTGGAGGAGCAGCGGCGATGCCTTTAACACTTGGCAGGGACTTTTCTACTCCCCCTCACCACGTGGTCAGCCTCCTGTGGCAGCCTATTTTATAATAAGCCCAGGAGTCTGTCGATGACCTCAGTCCCCCAAGCCTCTGACTCAGGTCACACACCCAACGGGCAGCAGGTGCACTTGTAAAATGGCAGTTTGTAATAGTGAAAATCTGGAAACCACCTAAATGCCCGTGGTCAGGTTGAATAAGTTTGGCCCAGCGAGATACAGCCCTTAAGCCAAGGGAGGTGAGGACCCAGGATGTGGACGGTCTAGGGTGCTGGGGAGGTGGGGACGGAGAGGTCCGTGATCCCACAGAAACGGCACTTTCTATTTTTTGCTTGATTTTGTCGTTGTTTTGTAACAAGGACACTGTCTGTCTATGATTAGAAAACAGAAATAAAAGCAATCACCCTCTCGTCCACCTTTTATAGCAGGCACCACCAGATTTTGCCCACGTTGTGCCATAAATCGGTGAATCCCCGGGTGCCTGGTGCTGCCCAGATTTTGCCCAGAGCAGGCTGTCCTCACTCCCAGCCCGCAAAGTCCTCACACAGTGCTGTCAGCTGGAAGCTGACTTTAAGCAAAACAACATGTGATGACAGCAGAATCCAGAGCGATGTCCCTTCACTCAGCGCCAGCTGGACATGTGTTCTCCTCAGGCGTTATCACAAAAAAGCCGCTTCTTGAGCCCAGCCGTAAAGGAAGGCCGTGTGATCCTGAACCCCCAGAAACCTTTGTGGCCCGACCCCACCTTCAGGCAGTAGCCCTGTGGCCAGCTGGGCTTAGAAGGGTTACCAGAGGGCAGAGGGGTGTCGCAGAGTTAGCGGTAAAACCAACTCGAGTGGGCCCCAGCCGCACCGGCCTCTGCGCAGCTGTCCGCACTGCTCTGACACTCAGCCCTGAAGCTGCTCCACGCCCAGGCACTGAGGCAGAAGCTCATCTTGGAGAGTTCACGCCCAGGGCACTCGGGAGAAAGTGGTAGCTCTGGGTCTGGGACCCAGTTGAATCTGAGGCCAGGGCCTGTACCCCCGAGCTGGGTCTTCCCCTCTTGGAGTTTTCAGAGACCGCACGCGATTCATATCCAGCCTAATGACAACTGATTAACAAGGGAAACCACGCAGGTAGAGTGAGTCAAGTCACTGCTGTCAACTTGTCCTTCACCGGGAAGGAGAGGAGCCGCTCCTGGCACAGCAGTGCCCTCTAGTGGCCGCTCCCGAGCGCCGCTGCCGCGACCAGGCTCCTTCAACCACCAGGTCCTCCCAGTACCAGCGGTTCTCAGGGGTGTGTCCACCATCTCCCCCTCCTCCCACCCACAGGAACTGCCACCATCTCTTCCTCTTTCCAATTCCAGACACCATCTTGGGGACCTAAATCCTGCTCCTGACACAGGTTCCATTCCTGTCTCCTCTACTTCTCGTGGGCAGGCGCTGGGGCTAGGTGGTCATCTAGGAACACTATAGTGAGGGCAGGCATGGGATTGGGATCCACCAATCGGCCTCAGCATGGCTGGTATTTTGGGCTAGATAATTGGCGGGGGGGGGGGGGGGGGCTGTTAGCTGTGGGATATTTAGCAGCATCCAGGACTCACCCACGAGAATCTCTCTAGCTACTGACAAAGGCCCCGGGGCACGGTCAGTCCCGGCTGAAGAGCACCGGCTGAGCCTGGCCGCCTACAGCTGGTCACCTTGGACCGCTACCCCAGCCACTCTGGCTGTTAAACCCAAACTCTCCGCATTGCAAACCAGTGCCCACCTGCTGGCATGGCTGCGTCACGTGCAGAACCCGAACTTGGCAGGGGCACAGGGACAGCAGTGGCTGGGGTGGGATCCAGAGCCCACGCCATGGCGCATCCTTGCCTGAGCTCCCCCTTACCCCGCTGCTCCAAGGCCCCCAATAACAAATTATAAAGAATCATCCAGCGGAGGAGAGCACTCTCTTGGCCCATCACAGTAACCCACCACACAGGGACAAACGAGGTGTTACAGACGAGACTATGTGCCCCAAATTCATACGGTGAAGCCCTAACTCTCAGTGTGACTCTGCTGGGAGATGGGTATGGGGGGCATCAGGATCATATGAGGTCAGTGGAAAGGCCCAGTGTCGTCATCAGGGAAGCAATACCAGCTCCACTCCCCCCCACCAGCCCCCAGCCCCCTCTTCAAACAGAGGAAAGCCACTGTGAGACACAGAAGGTGGCCAAGTGCTGACTAGGAAAAGAGGCCCTGGCAGGACCAACCCTGACAGCACCTTGAACTGGGACTTGTAACCTCCAGGACAGGGAGACAACAAACTCTTTGCCTGAGTCACCCAGGTGTCTGGTCATGGCGGCCCAAGCCCACTGGGACACGTAAGCACAGACAGCCGAGACGCGCCATGAAACCGCCAGGCAGGGTGGCTGGGGGCAGTGGCGCGGGAAGCCTGTTCTTACAAAGTGATGTCTCGTGGCTGATGTTCTCAAAGAGGATGTTCAAGGTCTGCAGCAGCTGCACACACACATAGCGGCCGGACTTCTGCCGCAGGATGTTCAGGAAGAAGACGAACATGTTCTTCTCCAGGAAGAAGCTGGGGAGAGAACGGGAAAGCATCAGTGGCTGGCTTCCCCACCTGGGAGCCAAAGCAGCCTCGGGCGCATCCTCCCCGAGAAGACATCCACCTCTAGGCCAGGTCTCAGCCGGCAGGCCCGCTCGGTGCCCTCGGCTCCCCAGCCATCCTTCAGCAGAGAAGGTGCCATGTTTCCAGCTCACTCCCAGGGTGTGGGCCCAGCCCGCTCTGAGAGGCAGGGCACTGAGCATGACAGGCGGGGGAGGTCTGGCCTACCGAGGACCACACAGCTACCGACCTACCCAGCATACCCCACTTTCTAGACTCTGATTTATATCCTAGCTTTCCCAACTAAGTGTCTTCCCTTCACTCTTTAAATGTGCCTCTGAGAATTAATCAACTGGAATTCCCTACAAAAGGGTAAGGGATGGCTGAATATTCAGACAGTTTTGGTTTCAAACTGCTCAGTTTGTCATTTCTGCAAGGAACAGGAGGAGGGCACCAGACCATCTCGAGTCAAATTTCTGGCTGGTGGACAGCCTGGGAAGACGCAAGAAGCGTGGCGGACCAGATGTGACAGCTGCACACTGGGAAACGGAGGCTCAGACAGAGGATCTGGCCGAAGGCAGCTCTCCTTGGCAGCATGGAAGGAGGCATTACCCTCCAGGGCGTAGCTCTGAGTGCGCCCTATCGCTCACCAGTTGTGTGACACGAGACAGCGGCCAGCGAGTGCATTGGGGTGGCCCCACCAGGGAGGGCCCCTCCACGCTTCCAGACCCGACTTCCAGGACATTTTCTCCTTCTCTGGATCATCTGACTCCACTGGGAATATTACCCATGATATTTTCAGACTTTCTAGAGATACCCATTTCCAGAACTTTCTCATGTTCTGCTTGCTTTTCCAGCATTTCAAGGACACCATACACAGACAGAGGCAGATATAGATAGATATTTGTGCGAGACGAAATTGGCGTCAAATCCTGACATCACCAGGAATGACTCATGGTGTACATTTAGAGGAAATATTCAAAGGGTGAAGAAGAATCAAAACACAAAAAAGTATCAGAAACTCTTACTCAAACACAGAGCTGTCATTCTGGTCTCCCCAAATCAGGATCTCGGTGATGGAACGGATGGTCTCCACTAACAGGTTCCGGTTCTGTTCTGTGACTGTGGTGTTTTTGGTCAAAACATGATACAGGTATCTGAGACAAAGGAAAGGAAATTAAAGATTAGCCAGTGAAGTGAAAGCCAGGCTTAGTGATCAAAAGCAACATTTTGGGCATAATTCGCTTATGCTTTCTGAGATTCAGTTAGCTATTTCCCGTTCAGATGTTATAATTTACCAACCAAGGCCAATGGCCAGGGGCACACCGACACAAGTGAAGACAGGAAAACCTTTAAGCCCTTGAAGACAGACCCCTCGGGGGGCAGGAGGGTCATCTGGAGAGCTGGACAAAGTGAGGGCCGTGGAGCACATCCGCAGATTCAGATTCAGGACTAGAGGACCCCACCACTGGCCTAGTCATGCTTCCCGGTGACTGTGACACTGGGGGAGCACGAGGGGAGTCACAGCTCAGGGCTGAAGGCTAGGGTAAGATCCGCAGCCCAGACAATGCTGATTTAGGGGAGTGGAGTCTCAGCAAGGAGGGGTCCAAAGCCAGCAGCCAAAGCAACAGTCATGGGAATCCCCCACCAAGGAGACAGCAGCCATCAGAAGTGGGGGCGTGCTGCGCAAGGGCTCGGTCTCATTGGCTGAGCGCAGGTGCCTGCACTCACAAAGCCGGGTGGGCTGGAGAGTCTGCCAGGCTGCACCTCACATACCAGATGTGCCCCGGAGGTCTGTACTGCTCCAGCCCTGTGCCAGCCACAGGCTCCGGGACAGCAGACAGTCCAGGCCTCCAGGCCCTCTGCTGGTGGTGACGAGAATGGAAGGACTCGCTGAGGCCAGTCCTGAGCAGCTTCAAGGCTGGTCAGACACCCTAGGAGATGCTTCTGCAGCACACACAGGAGGCGGAAGCTTCGGCTGTCATGGCTGAGAAGGAAAAGATGACTCAGGCCAACACACCTCCTGTCTTGTTTTAGGACCACCTGCAGTCGGGTGGGGGCTGGGAGAGCAAGGCTGGGAGCCAGACGGGACTGGCTCTCTTAACACCAGCTAAGGTGGAAAGAGGCGGAACCATTGTGGCGCAACATTAAGGAGCAAGCTGCAGCTTAAGGGAACTGAGTTTTATGGATTAGTATTATTACTGTTTGTTACATTTTAAAGACATAGTATGATGTCATGTAATTGTTAACATAATTAAAAATTGCTTGCAACTTTCAACATGCAATAACCGGAAGAGCCCTCCCAAAAGAAGCTCTTCCACCTGCATCCAAGCCCCTCAGCTGGGCCCCTGTGGAGGAAACACCACAGCGCTGAACCCAAGCCTGGGAGAAATGCCAGGGAACTGCTCATGAGTCTCACCTCCATTCACCTGCCCCCAAAGTCTCAAAGAGCAGTTTTTCAGATGGGGGGCTCGTGGGCTCCCCACATGAGAATCACCTGTTGAAGCTGCAGATCCCAGCTCCCCACGCTGAGACCACAACCCACAGAATCTAACTCCAGAGCCTCCAGCCTGCATTTTGAACACGTGCATACAGATCTGCACCAGGCAGGCCACAGTGCGCCCCCTGCCCCGAGACGGGCACTGCCTGCTGTGCAGGGGCGAGGCAGCCCCCCGCTGGTCGCTCTGTCTGCAGGATGATGCGCGGTCACACTTCTGCTGCTGTTGTCATCATCGCTTTTGTTCATAATCTCTGCAAAACACGTCTAGTAACCAGAAAGCCCTTACAGACAAACCCGGAGAGAGGATTCTAGGAACATCTTCTAGAATCTTCTAGAGAAGATTCTAGGAACATCCATGTGCGGTACAGAGTCTGGCTCTGTGATCCTCCTACTTCAGTAACTGGGACACACACGTAGTTAGCATGTGGACAGCATCTGGCCAGAGGCTGGGTCTGAGAGCTCGGAGTCCCCTGCCACCTCTCCAACTCTTGCTGTCCTTGTCTTTTTCGGGGCTAGGGAGGGGGGCAATCTGGCAGGTACATAGTGACATCACTTTGGCATTTTATGCCCTGATCAGAAACAAAGTGGGACACATTTTCAGATGTTACAGGCTATTTGAGTATCTACCTTCGTGAAATGCCTGCGCAAGTGTTTTGCCTATTTTTTATTAGGTATCATTTATTGGTAGAGATCTTTGTGTGTTCTGAATGTGACGTGCCTGTCACTCTGCAGTGGGCTTCTGGTGATTTTAATGCAGTCCAAGTTATCAGTCTTTCCCTTGGATTGTGTTTTTTGTACCTTGCTTAAGAAATCCTTACCGGGCCTCCTTGGTGGTGGAGGGTTAAGTCTCAGCGCTATCAGGCTATCACCACTGGGACCTGAGTTCGATCCCCAGCCAGGAAGCTGACCCACATATGGCATCACAGACCTCTTCTGTCTCACCCATCGCTCCCCTCAGCAGTAGATTTCAGTAGATCCATCGGGTCTGCTCCCCACTCTAACTCTGTTGAGTCTCTCACCTCCTGCAACTCTGGCCTACACCCCAGTTCTTCTATACACAAATAAAACAAATATAAAAATATATAATTAAAAAAAAGAAATCCTTACCTATCCTAAGGTCATAAAGAAATGTTGTTCTCTTATTTAAAAGTTGCTATTTTAGAGATGGAAAAAAATGTACAAAATGATGTAAAAATAAACTTTTATAATAAAAAAAAAAGCAAGCTAAAAAAAAAAAAGTTGCTGTTTTAGCTTCCCTTTTGGACTTACAGCACATCTGGAACTGACCTGTGTGTGTTTCAAGGGATTGGCCAACTTTGCTGTTTCCACATGGGGAACTCGTTGACCCAGCAACATCTACCGAAAAGGTCCTTGCTTCTCGCACGCACGCACACCAGCATCACCTCTGCCCCTCATCAGGTGGCTGTGTGGGGCGCTTTCTGAGAGCTCCGGGGCCGCTCAGCGGGCCGTCTGCTCTGTGCCAGCACCGTGCCGGGTGACTGCCGCGTACAAGGAGTCTTGCTAGGTGATCACGTAAGTCCTTCAATTCTTTCCTGTGGTGCTTCCAGTATTACACTGGCTATTTTGATGCTCTGCATTTCCATATAAATTTAAAAATCACCTCCCAATTTCCATAAAAATGCCTGCTAAGATTCCCTTTTAGACTGTCCTATGTCTACCGCTAAATATGGAGAGAACAGACTTCTTTGCGATCGAGTAACGTGACAGGGACTGCACTGCTTTCAGAGTTTGCTGCACATCTTTTGCTAGATTTATTCCTAAGGTAGTTGATGATTTTGATGCTATTGTACATAGCAGAGGTGGACATTTTCAACATGGTCTAAATGCTTGTTGGGGGCAGGTCCCCTGATCTCAAGCTCTGACGCCTCCTGACAATTATGCCTGCACCTTACCCCTGCTCACCCCTCCTAATGCCCCAGTGCACAGAAGAGACCCTCAGTATATGTTTGTGCAAATGCACCAGGGAGAAAGAAGGCTGAAAGGATCAAGGGCTAATTTTTATTTTTAGACTTATTTATTTATGCATACAGAACAGGGGTACAGGCCAGAGATGCAGGGGTGGTGAGAGGATTCCCCAGAGACAGAACGGGGAGCAGAACAGGCAGATCAACAGTACACTGCTGAGGGGAGCAGCGGGCGGGTCAGGAGAGGTCTGCCGCGCCATGTGGGTCACCTCCGGGGCTGGGATCAAACTCACACTGGAGCAGCTGCAGCTCGCTTGGAGGGCTGCGCTCTAACCCTTTGCGCCACCAGGGAGGGCCCAAGGGCTAATATTTTAAAGCTGCCTCCGGGGCTCAGGAAATGCAGTCATTCAACTACCTCTGAAATAGTAATGTAGGTTAGTAACTTCCTGATTATAAATGTAACATTCATTTTTAAAAGGTTGGAAATGAAGTGGCAATAGTCCACCAGGCCACTCTGAGCAACAGTCACTGCAGGGGCCTCAAATGATGGTGGCCTCCGGGGTCTTTCTCTTTGCTGTGGATACAACTAATTGAACACTGCCATGTCTACTTCTATGCCCATCTTATTTCCCACCTCTGGCTAAAATAAAAGTATTTGTTGCCTTCATTGTCATTGACAACTGTTTACAAAGACCTACAATGGCTACAAAGTACACCACTGAAAGGAAGACAGAGGCACTCACGCTGTGACTGGGCATACATTCCTAATTGTCTTGATGACCTACAGTGTTACCACGGCCACCTCTGTGCAAAGCTGTGTCCTTTCTAGATACTTCCCAAAGAAGGAACCATTTACTTTGGGTGTTTGACCACAGCAAATTCAGATTTTTCTCTTACAGTGATGACATTTCTCTCATCCTCTGTTATGTGTGCATTTTCATCATCATTATCAAGACAGCTGCTGCCTCCTAATGAGCCTCCTGCTCAGCGTAATGTGTTCGCTCATTAAAATCCTCCCAGCAGCCCTGCGGGTTGATGCACCAGGGAGCTGCGGCCCTGGGAGGCCAGGACGGGCCCGGATTCCGAGGCAGGGATCCCAGGCCAACCCCCTTGCTTAAAGGGCTCTGTGGTATAGAGCACGCCACAGGGACACAGACAGCACTTTCACTAGCTGAGGATCTGCAAGAAGTCGAGAATGTAGGGGGCGCTCTGGCGAGGGCGAGTAAGGCAGGCACACCTATGCAGGTGCAGAGTTGTATGCCCCGAATTACAGCTATGCAAACGACTGGCATTTCAATAAGATGGAGATGGGGGAAGAGCCCGAATTAAGAATATTTTTATTTTAAAAAGAAGAAAGCGTAGGATCCAAGAAAACCAAATAAACTAACAGAGAGAAACAAGACACTGAAGTACACCTCAGCACCTCATGTAAGTCCTGAAAACTGACTCTCCTGGAAAAAGAGCCAGCACGAAGAGAGCGCTAACAGAAGCACTGCAGAACCCCAACGCCAGATCCCAGAAGCAAGCATGCCCTACTTGGACAGGCGCTTAGGAGCCAGAAAAGCCCAGAACTCAGGAACACTTCAGCCCGTGGCCAGCGCGCGGCCAGCACACTGGAGCCTCATCACCAAGGACAGTGGCCGGTAAACAATCCTGCCTCCGCCTCCACTACCCTGCGTTCCCAAGAGAGGCCCTTCTTCAAGGTCCCCTTTATTACTGAGGCAGACACAGA